AGAATTCTGTGAAAACTATCTTAATAAAGTTAATAATAAACTATTATTTGAGCGACTAAAATAAATAAAATATGTTACAAACTATCAACAATACTTCAATACTAATCATCAGTACTCTAAACTTCCAATTCAGATGTCTCAAAAGGGATCAGTGGGCATCTCCTGGTATTTTGAATGAATCCTTTTTCTTCCGATTATCTGGTGGCCTGGTTAGTATAGTGCTTGCCAAATACTTAGTCCTTGTTCAGCTTGCCTTTGGTGTCTGGTTCTCCAGATGATAATCCTTTATATAGCACCATCAAAGATTTGTGCTACCTCTCTACTTGGAACTTCCTAAGCAGGCTTTTGTATTTCCTGATCTCTTAGATTTATTTAGCTGCTTCATCTAGGATTTATGTAACTCATATGTTATATTATGTTTTACAACCTCCTAATATAAATTGATGAGACTAAGATTACAGATGCTAATCTAATCGATATGTTATACAGTCTGCTGTAATGCATTTTCACAAATTCAAATTTCGTCACCAGTGGGATTTGAACTCTTGTCCTGCTATTTGGGGATGTGACAACTTACCAACTTCACTAAGTCACCACACCCTCTAGAATTCTATATGTAATATTAACAAATTATATATATAATAAGTAAACAAACAAATATATGTTTTTTAGTAATATAGATTAATTAATTATATAATTAGTTTTTATATCCCAGCTGGCTAGAGTTGTTTAAAATTTTTATTTTATAAAAACTAAGATATTTGTAGCCTTATTTATCTAAACAATAAATGCTTAGACATTGTTTAGTTATTGCAGAAGTCTAAGAGAAATGCTGTTTATTATGTAATTTATTTTTATTATAAGGCCAGACCCCTCCACCCTAGTAATAATTTTGATTGGTTAATCTAGATCAATATATCAATACATGATAGACCCACTAACTCTCTTCTACCCTCTTTAAATTATATAATAAACAGCTCTTTCCTAACAGTGTGTACCAGAGGCACTACTGGTCTGCTTATAATTAAACAACCAGAACAAATTTATTGCCTGTCAAGAATTTTGAGTAAAGCACATTATTTACTTGAACAATAAATATCTCTAGTTACTGCTGAGGCCTAACAGTGCCTGTCCAAAAAAATAATACTAAATATACATGGAGGAGAGGAGGATTATATAAAAAATTTGAAGCATGAGAAAATGTGAAATTACATGTAAAAAAAAAAAAAACTAGACACGAAAATTGGTGAGACATAATTATGATGACATGTTCACAAATAAAAATAAACAATCTTCAATGAAATGTAAACATTCACCATGCAAAAAAAAGATCAAATAGAAGATAAAATTATGCTTAGCGTTTATTGAATCATAACAAATTATACTGTGGAATGAAGATAACATTTTTTGTTCTAGACTATCTTATTACTGTATATATATCAAATTTAATTTGAAAATCCGGGTTTAATACTCAAATATGATAGGTTCTTGTAAGTGTGCTTGGGTCTGTTAATCGACATTAATGAATTGGGTTCATTAATAATAACGATAAATGTGGCAGCTTTTGCTGGGATTAACTTATGCTGGAATTTGAGGGTATTTTTGCTAAATACCCCGTGATCTTGATATAGTGGGGTATTTTTATTACGTACAAATTCACCTATACTTTTTTTATCAATAAAACTACCCCTAAACACTAATCTAACCTAAACAAAAGGCTATTAAAATTTAATTCAGCTTAAAAAGTCACAATAAATACCGTTTTTATCTTTACGTGTATCTATCTATCCATCCTCTATATATATATATATATGCGATAGATTAATATTTATTAATTTATAAGCTTTTTTTATACGTATGAAGCTTTTTCTTCAGTAGTGTAGGATTTTCAGTTTTGTTATTGCAATGATTACTATATATGAGTGCTGCCAAGGGAAAGACGCTACGAGTTTCTAATATATTAAGGATCGTGTCCGGTACAAACTATAATGAAACTCCGTAGTGCCAACACTCATATACATACATAATTATATAATATTGTAAACAACAAAATTTTTTTAGTTAGCTATTTTAAAAGTAGAATATATGTCATATTTAAGATCTTCATGCATGTAATTCTGGTCAGGTGCTTCTTTAGATATCTAAAGTTGCAACTTCAGTTGCAACATACAGTATATCCAGTATATAGCAAGTAAAGATAAAAAACGAAAAAAAAACCTTTTATATTTTCATTTAACCAATCTTAATAATTTTATTATTATTAGAATCAGAAAATTTTATTTAGCATCTCATTAAAAGACGTGAAATTATGCTTTAATTCCGTTATCACTAGTTATATAGGAATTAGTCCAATAAAATTAAAAATAGAAAAATTGATTTACAAGGCATCGTATATCCTACGTACGTACGTACGTACGTACTGTACGTACGTACCTCTAAAACCAATTATTTATTTAGAATTATAAAGCCTATATCCAGAATAATATTCAGAATACATTCTAAGGATCCATATCACTTCACGACAATCAATTCGTAGGCACGATTACAGTAATTCACAGACAGACAGCTCATTCATAGTTTATTTCATTAACAGCTTATTCTATGCTCATTCATGGTTTATTTTACCGAAAGTTCATTTCATATTAAATATCCGAATTTCTGTGTGATCTTAATTAAGCGCCAGTCTATTTGATAAAGGGGTCTTTGCCTTAAAAATCACCCTACGACATTTCCGATCGGATTAATTTGGACAAAAATAAACTTGAGTACCGGTTATATGCTAATCATCTTTTTACATGCGTAAGGTGATCAGGGCAAAAACACCAAATTTCATTGGATATGAGTTTCTAAATTTAAAGAAGGCTCTAGATAAAGCTAGTAAAAATCTTCAATTGAGAACGTTGATCAATTTGCTGAAATTAAAAGACAACTGCCTTTTAATTACTAGAAAGTCATACGATATGAAATTTTTTTTATTAGCTTAAATTACACAATGTAATCATTTGAACAAATGCTAATTAAAATAGCCATTTTAGACATAGCTTTTCGGGTTAACATCCTAGTTCGGCCCAAAGTATATAACTTTTATTAAGTCAATTATCTATAAATACATAAGCAATTGAATCATCTACAAAGAGAATTATATATTTTTTTTTTCGACCTATTGTTTAGCTTTGCAATAAATTAATGCAATTGAAAAAATACCAAACAATATTTAATGAACAAATACTAGACAACATTTTATGTAGAAGTTTCATATCGCGTTTGATGTACATATTATTTGTCGATCCTAAATACATTTTTTTTTCATTCTAGTAACAGCATTTATTATATATATACATATATATTCAATACTCTTCTTGATAAACGATATTAGAATGATAAAGTCATTTTTACCGATTTTTGTCGTGTACTTTTTGGGAATTGAAGGTACGTGCATACAGTATGTACAATCTTAAAAATACTTGAGATCTAAATTATCTTTTGGCTTAATAGCCGCTTTCGCAGCAACAAATAATAATGATAATAATGGCGCACCTTGGATTCCAACCTCCACGCAACAAAACACAAGCCCTGAAGCCTTAGACTATTATTATTTAAAATGGAACATTTCTTACTCTGCCGGCGAAGCATTGCCTATCTTCATTGTTATAAATCCTAACGGCAAGACTCCGCCATCCCAAGTATCATTGTCATTATATGATGAATTTAATAATATTAAACTTATTGATATTGCCGACACTCCTTTAACATCCTCTGAAATAGCAATACCTTTCCCTGTGTACACATGGACCGTGGTTTCAGAGATTAAGTCAGATTTCAATTTTGAATCTGGTGATTTTACTATGGTCATGTCATATAATGATGGTAACACGACTGTAAAAAAAGATAGACGCTTAAAACTTTTAAATGTAGTTGCTTCTCCAGGCGGTGCTGAAAACCCTGCTTTTACTAAGAATATAAATAGTAATAGCAGTAGCAATGGTACCAATGGTAATAGCAGTCCTACAAACAATGGCGCAAAGAATTCTGCTGCGATATCTACTATACCTATTATTAATATTTTAATTGTAACTATTATCGCTTTTATTATACCACAATTAATTACCAATCAACTATCTCCATCGCTATAGTTATCGATTAGTATATGTCTTTTATAGTACCGTAAAAGACAGTATACAAGACAAAATTTTAAAGCATATATGATATTCTGTGGGTCTAATTCATAGTTGGGTGTATAATATCTTTTACGGTAAATAAATCAAATACAAACTTTCATAGATTTTTAATATATATATATATACGTTTATTAGAGCACACATATTTTAAATAAAAGCAACATAAAAATAGTGTATTTCATTTAATATCAATTATCGTTACCAAGAAAACTACCTTACAAAAGTGTATACCATAGTATTGATAAATTAATACGAAAGATATAAACTTATATAACGATAATGCTCTTTAAAATACATCGATTGCCTTTTCCATTACAGTACGTATCGGTATATATAGCTAATAATTGTCCGGTACAAAGTTGTCCAGAGAGAAGCGGAGGTGCGCTTTGATGACCGGAGTTACGTTTTTGATGCATTCCTAATAAAAATATCAGAAACGTATTTTTGATGCAGCCAGTGTGTTCACATTTGTACTTAAACGCTCCGGACTTACTCTATAACGGACCTGTCTGGCTGAAAAAATCGGTCCGTTATAATAAAAATCCATGATCACATTATATATAATGAATTACTATATATATATATATATGTTATAATCCGCTATAGTGTAATAGCGGTTTTACTAGCAAGGTTATATATACAGTCGATACTGTCTAATTGCATATACTCTCTAAGTGCATAAAAAATTAATGCATCGACTGTAATTCCATATCGATATAATACAGTCCGGGAATATACCAAATAAGGGGGACGTCTAAAGCGGAGGCAACTCATATTTAATAATTTTTTCGATTAACTTTAGGGTTAGGGTCTTCTATATTAGGGTTAGGTTAGGTTTTTATAAGCAAAATTGCCTTCCTGACATTTTTGATTAACCTACCTGAGGTAGGTTTAGACTGCCGTTTTTTGTATTTTTCGGGTTTTTTGTTTTTTGCTTCGCTGGCGATCATCAAAATTCTATCATTTGATTGGCTGTTGATCACATGATGTGCCTCCGCTTTAGACGACCTCCAAATAAGGAAATCACATTCTAGAATGATCTACAAGTAAATTCTTGAATGTGATTGGCTCTCACGTGCTTTTTCTTCCCTAAACGTTGTATATCTTGAAAAAAAATTTTTTTAATAGTTAGTAAAATTTAAAAATCTTTGAATACATAGTTCAGGATGTCTAGTTTTAAACATTCCAAAAAATTTCATACAGTAAACTTTCTTGGCTAAAGTAAATAAGACACTAAAATCGGGTATTTACTTTGTATAGGAAGTTAAAATTGTCTTCAGTTAACTTAAGACAATCTTAAAAGTTTGTTTTTATATTGTTGTGGGCCAAATAAACAAACTCACATATATACAACAAAGTAGTATCAAGGCTTTATTTAACAAATAGAGGTGGGATCAACTTGGCTTGGTCTAAGAGGATAGTTAAATATACTGCTTACTATTGTTATATTAGTAAATTTATTAGTCAAATTTATTTAGATTATATTATATTTTATTAGTCAATTTTTATTAGTTGAATTTTATTAATAATTTTTATTATATATTTATTATATATTATTTATATTATTATTGTATATTTTATAGTATTATTAATTTATTTATATAGTTTATAACATATTTTATTTATTTTAGTCGCTCAAATAATAGTTTATTATTAACTTTATTAAGATAGTTTTCACAGAATTCT